CTTTTCAAAGGCAAGAAATTCCCTGTGATTTCACATCATGCAGAGGGAATGCTGTGTGAGTGAACAGTTTAAGGCCAGTGCTAACACAAGACTGCAGGGACCACAAATTCAATTACAGATCGTTGAAAATACCTACCCCCAATACCACGGTTTCATGAACCAACTCAACTACCCAAAGGATACGAAGTCAACCCATGCTAACACTATGCATTCTTCTTTAAGAAGGAAAATCATTAAGTTTCTTTTCAAGTGGGAAAAATATTCAAAACTAGGTATTTTACAGTGAATCTTATTCTCAACTTTCCAAAATGAAGTGTTTCTATAACTGTCCTTATGGGTCTATCTAAAAACTAAGTAGTAAAGACCTGAGTAATATATGGTATATTATTTTTCCCATGAAGCTATTCAAAATCCAGAGAAATGTATTATCCTCCTTTACACCTGAGATAATGTCCCTGTAGCAACTGTGGTGGCTAACAGCATCCACATCTAAAAGGGGGCTAACTTCTGACCTACCTAGTTTAGTCTATATGTTTCTGTGTTGAAGTTAGGCTTTATTTTTCTACCTTCAAAAAAATAAAACAGGGCCAGCATGTGGCGTGATGGTTAAGGTGGCTGGATCCCACACAGCAGACTATGCAATTCAAGTCCTGGACCTGGTGGCTTGAGAAAAACCCAGAGAGCACATGCCCAGTGCCCAAAATTCTGAAAGGACGAGTGACAAAGGAGAAGGGATTGCATCATGACCATGCCCCAAGAGGGGTGCTTTCTAACTTTCTCTCTGTCTCTCTCCAGTTAGCACCCTCTGGCAAATGTTAAAAAATAAAATAATAATGACTACAACTACACTGTTTAGTAGCCATAAACTTACAAGATTCTAAACTGTATAATTCACAGAGCTATGAATGCAGCTGCATACACAGTCCTAAATAAAATATCAGATCTAAAATCCAAGTACAAAGACCAATAAAAACATACACTTGCCAAATTCACCAAGAAACCAGAACTGACTTAACAGCTGTCTACAAAACCCACAAAATACTAGGGGAAAAAAAAAAAAAAGAACAGAAAAACAAAACAAAAAAAAACACTTCTGGCTCAATATAAATGACATCTGAAGTAAGATGCTGCCTCCAACAGACATTTCATTTGTTTGCCTAGAACCATTTATATTTCATTTAGGCCAGCTGGTGTCTCCATTTGCAGGCATGCATCAATGTCTAGTGAACAATCTATGTTCCTGTAAACCCTTCTCCATTCACAAGCCGTAGTTTCCATTTTTTTAATGGCAAGTTTCCAGCAAATACAATGAGTCCTTACAAAGGAATTTAACTCTTCATCCAACTCAATTCCTAGGCAGATGAAAGCAATGGAACCAAGTCACAATGTGTATTGATGTGCCTGAGAAAACTCACAAATAGACTGACATCCAAAGAATGACCTCTTCACCAAACCATTCACTATATGATTAGAATACAACGTGCTGGATTTGACTGACAGTCTCTTGTAATGTTGTATAATGTTTTGGTTTTATTAACATAACTTCTTTCTTGGGAATGTCATGACAATCTTTTGACAAAGTGGTAATATTGTGAAGTTTCAAAATCCATTTGAGAAGAACACTTTGAATTTGTTTTTAACTTACAAGGATGAGTATTAATTCAACTACTAGAGGCATTCATTTGCTCTTATCAATGTTTCTCTTCCCCTTACCTCCATTCATCATCCTCTTCTCCAAATGAAGGTGGGTATTTATAAGCCTCGCTGCTGACACCCTAGACCAAGGTATATAATTTTTTTCTGAACCAGATAGTAAAGACAGAACTTTGGAGCAAAATACAGTCTGTCACAACTCAACTCTGTCACTGTAGTAAAATTTTATTTTGAGGAACTAGTATTTGAATTTCATACCATTTCACATCATGAATTATTTTTTTTTCTTTTCCAACCATTTAAAAATGCAGAAAAATATTCCTAGCTCCTAGGCTGTACAAAAAGTAGTCTGCAGACCTTGGAGAGTTATTTCTGAATTAGTAACAACTGTCCCAAAACCCAGGTTTGGGATATGCTGTAAAGTAAGGAGCTCCTAAAAAAAAAAAAAAAAAAAAAAAAATTACAGTGCTAACTCCCATAATGTAAAAGCTCCAAGTCTAGAGGTTATGAAAGCAAGCATAACTTCCTTCAACTCCCTGCCCTTTCCTTTTTCCTAGTGTTAAGTAGCAACAGTGTGAAAAATACTGATTTAAATATGAACAGTCATCAAGTCCAGCTTTGGAATTACCTTTCTGAGATGACTAACATAATAGCTAAGGCTTAAAACAGATATCCAAGTTCCTGAAACTACTGATAAAGTCCCAACATAATTTTGACTATACCATAAGAAACCTATAAGCATCGAAGAACAAAGATAAAATAAATTGTTTATGAAAGAATTTCAAAAGTTCATGGAAAAATGGAATCAAAATGAGTTTATTTTGGTACAAAGTAATGTTGAAATCCATGCAGTTTCTTCCATAGTATGCATTCCTATTATCTTCTCGATGACCCTTGTACATGCTTTGAAAATGCAGTTCGGTATCCTAGTTCTAAATTATATTTGAACTCACAGAAGTGAAAGGAAAAGAGTTTCCACAGAGTCTTAGTCAATCTCAATTAGGTAACCCACTATTGACTTCCAATCCTAGCTAAGGCTAGGCTATATGGATAAACTTATTTCAGCTAAGGCTATATGGATAAACTTTACTTCTGTAAAGTTTGAGATTTTTCACTGTTAAAGTAGAAAACGTGGAAAAAGTATTTCCAAGACTGGTAACATAAATAAAAACTGTGAAGCTTGTGATACCTGCACAACACTGCAGCTCCCATTATGACAACATTATCAAAAACCAGACAGGAGCACACCCTGAACTGGCCATATAAACACACAAAGTCAAACTAAATCACATTTAGAATGTCATTCAAAATTACAGGGCAAAAATGTACACTTTAGCAAGTCAAAACAATTTTAACTAGTCTTCTCAAATCAGCTTTTTGTTAATATTCAAATTTGCTGAAACAGTGATTTTTGGTTTTACGATATGATCAAAGTTCCAAAGCAAATGTCAAAAACACCTTGTGAGGTAGAATACACGGCAGTATTTTGGAAAATAAATCTGAATTTGAATGAGCCAACTTAAACAATTCCTGTAATTCCAGTTACTTTACTAGTATAGTCCACTTAATTAAACTTTTGACATAATATAGTCCACTTAATTAAACTTCTGACATAATATGGTGCCGAACACATTAATCAATGCTACAAATCTATCGAGTAGATGACAGATATATAAAAGATTACAATTTTCTCTGAATAAATTCTCCTTTAAGTTGGGATAAACCCCAGTTGATTTACATATCTATGTGCTCAATTGTTTTAGCTTTGGGATGTACTTTAACTCCCACACCTAACACTGTATAAATTCAACTGAAATTTATACTGGTTAGCTACAACTATATTGAAATAGCCTGAGTAGTTTAGCACAGATTCCAAGATACCACTTTGATTTTCAGCAACATTTCACTGCAAACTGAAAATATCAACCCCCAGGAGCTCATTCTTGACACTGGTTGTTATTTACTTATTTGCTTACTTATTTAAAGTAAAGCCTAACAATCACTGAATGCCTTTACATAGAAGACAGCTTAGGTATGGTCCCTAAATAAAAGTATCTAAGAAATTCCCATGAAAACTTGCTCCATTTCTAAGCAGCATATATTTGTTAGGTCAAATATTTAATGGTAAAAATGGTAGCCTCTCCACGGACTTGGTTAAAAATATTTTAAAATATGGCACTATGGGGGGAAGACCTAAAGCAATTCCAAATGTTCAAAATAGAAGTAACCAAATGTAGAGGCAGGTACTCCTCACTTTCAAATAAGAGACATTTAAATCAAGCTATAAAAAGGCTTTGTCTAAGGACATTATCAAAGGCTCATACAGGAAACCTTTGCATGCTACACACAAAGGAAACAGATTTACGCTTCAAGTCTACAAAAGCCTATATCCTAGGACTGTGCCAGGGACACACTAGGATTTCAAAGTACAAAAAAACTGGGCATACACATGCTGTATAAAGCAGCCAAAAGGCATTCCCCACAGTCACTTTCAGGAAATGTTCCCAAACGAAAAGCAAAAAAGTCTCAAGTCCCTTGAACTCTTGGGTTGATTTCTTTATTATTCAAGGCTAGGTTGTTTTTTCCTAGCATACTTTACTGGGCAGAAATAAAGCATTTCCAAATAAAAGTGATTACTCGGTCCCAATTTTCAATATCATCTGCTTTTCACAAGTTCAAGATTTCACAAGGTCTAATAGTGTGATCGTATTACAGTATTCGGGAAGAGCATTTTCTTTGTTGTTGACCCTGCTAGGGAAACAGGTCTTGACTCAGCCAAAGTGGCGTTCTTGTGGGTGATTAATGACAGGCCTAGATCTCGCCCCAGTGACATCCATCCCCACCCCCCACCCCCTCTATACTAAAATCAGCCATGTCTGAACTGGAGGAGGGGCTGCCGCCTCGCCTCAAACCACCCAGTCCCAGAGTTAAAAGCTGCAACCAACCGATTCACGTGAACAGACACCGAGATTGGGGTGAAATGTGACCGTTCTCTTGCCTAAATGTATGAATATCGCCCTCTCTGATCATTTCCGCTGAGGCTTTACCGACCACGGAAACACTCAATTCCAGTCACTTGGCCCAAATAAAGGATCTTCCTCTTCCTCACATTACGCGCAAGGCAGGGCCCCTACCCACCCACCTCCCCGACCCCTCCCCCCCCACACACACACACATCAGGCCATTTCTATTGTGTCCCCGCAGCCCGAGGGATTAAAAGAAACGTGGTCTTCCGGCTACTAAGAACTAAGACCACAGTCCCGCAACCCCCACTCCAGAGGCCGCGCCGCGCGCCCCGGGACCCCCGCTCCCTCACCCACTCAGACGGCCGCGAGGCCGGGTCCCACCTGTGGTGAGGCGGGATGAGACGTCGCCGAAGGGGGATGGCTCCATTCGGAGATACTTCTGAGGCGAGGCGGCCGCGGCAGAGAAGGAGGCTGCGGTGGCA